AACTCTTTGTAAAACACCAACTAAAAAAATCACATGAATGCAACTGTAGTTATCTCTCTTACTTCTTATCATGGCTCCTGTAGAGACATCAACAGGCTGTTCAGTGCTCTTTGAACTATGTTTCTCCTTATTTGTTCCCTTTCGCAACACCAGTGATTTTTTCAGGTAATTGTGAAATATCCATACACAATTTGAGATTAAAATGTAAAGTTTGATTTAGAGTTCTGTAGATTTTGTTCTGTTGTCAGAAAGCATTGTTTCATGGTTACATCCATTATTCTACATGACTATATTTTTTTTTAAAAGTACGTATTTTAAATAGCTCTTCCCCAGGTTGCTAACATGATGAGAGATGATTTAAAACTGAAAGAACTTTTAAACTCTGATTTCCACTCCATCATTTCTATATTCCCCCCTCAGGCAGTGAAACCAGCTTCGTCAGTTCCCTGATCTTCTGTCTCCATCCCTCATGTTAGTTTGTGTCGTTTATAGTAACTTTCATTTTCTGGTTCTCATGTGCTACCCCTGATCTGTGACATTTAGGTTGCAAACACACCAGGATAAAGTTGAAATTGCAGAATATTTATAAATTTGTGGGAACATTTCTCCTATAAATAGTCTTAGTAAAACATTTTATTCTGGATCTAAATGGGCAACCTAAATTACCTGACAATGTTGCATTATCTGTAGTAGTAATTTAAAATTAGGATTGTGTAAGCATGTCTCTTCCTTTAAGGTTTAAATTCTGTAACATGCAGAGAGATGCTTCAGAACTACATGGGGCTCTGGAAATCCTTACATTTACCTAGGCAGAAAGGCTCCTTATTCTCTGGAGATTTTAAGGTTTCAAATGAGTAAATCAGAGTTTGCCTGGAGGTTCAATATTTAAGTACCTTGATGTTTTAGCCATCTGCAATAGAAACTGGATTGAAGTTGGTTTGTCTCTGCTCTGGAATTAATTTTTATACCACAGCAGCTGGCTTCTGGAATACTGTGCACCCAAACCAGCATGTATTAAGTGCAAAATTGGCTTTCTGATGTCAACCTTCATCTTTCATGTTGTGAAAGAAGGTACAGTTTTTGCAGCATGTCAGCCTAAAGGGCAAGTGCTTGTTACAAACTTTAATCCAAGCCATACTGTTTGTTGTCATAACAGATTACCTTCCAACTCTCAAAATCGTCAAGGCAAACTTGATATCACTTCTCCCATGTTAGACAAATCAGCTGGTTAAGTCAGTTTGCCAACCACAGGATGATATAAGTATCTTCTCTTTAGAACATTTATCTTCAGAGCTTCCTTGGCAAGCTAGCCTGGAGTATTTCCCTGGCCCTAGTAAGGCTGTTGTGTCAATTTGATATTGGTCTGTTCCACAGTGACACTGAGGCACTTGTTCAGTGACACTGTTCAAAGCAAGCTTGTGAAACTTTTTTCAGCCCCCAAAGGGTTTTGAGTTTTTCCTGTTTGGGGCTTTTTCATTTCTTCAAGCATCTATATCACATGAATATAACATGTACTCAGAAGTTTGGTTCCCCCCCCCCCCCATACTAGAAACATGAGGCTCTAACTAATATTCAACGCACTTGATATAATGGTCAGCAAGGACATAATGATCTTCAGTTTAGGTTGCAGGTGGGACAGCTGTAGAGATACTGTCCATCTGTTTGTGCTTAGCTGCTCTGAAAATGAGTGTTCTTACTTTGGTTTCTGCTGATAGGGAGGAAGGAAGGAAAAGCTTCCCCCACCCAATGCAAAGTTGGTTTCAGTTGAATGAGATCTCATCTGTCAGTTCTCTAGCTCAAGCCTAATATAGAGAAATGTGTGCTGTGGCTTTTCCCCCCACTGGTGAAATTGACCAAGATAAGATCTGATGCTGCTTATGGAACTAGGTTGCTCTTAAGGTTCTACTTGAAATCAACTTTTTGGGTTTATTTTAAGACAGATGAACTTGAATGCCTGTTATTAAATGAGGATATTGATATAACAGGCACCACAGAAACTTGGTGGAATGATGATCATCAAAGAGAGACGATAATTCTAGGGTATAAAATATATAGGAATGACAGAGTAGGTCACACTAGTGGGGCAGTGGCACTATATGTGAAAGAAAGTATAGTCAAATATAGTAAAAATCTTAACTGAATCAAACACAGAATCTCTATGGATAGAAATTCTATGCTTGAATCAGAGTATAGCAGTAGCAGTATATTACTGACCACCTGACGAGGATGGTGACTATGATTGTGAAATGCTTAGAGACTAGAGAGGCTACAAAATCAGGAAACCAATAATAATGGGGGATTTCAACTATCCCCATATTGACTGGTAATGTGTCATGTCAGGATGGGATACAGAAATACAATTTCTAGACATCATTAATGACTACTTCTTGGAGCAGCTAGTCCTGGAACCCACAAGGAAAGAGGCAATTCTTGATTTAGTCCTAAATGGTGCACAGGATCCAGTCCAAGAGGTGAATGTAGTTGAAGTGCTTGGTAATAGCAACCATAAATGTCATTAAATGTAACATCCTTAGGGAAAATACCAAAGAAACCCACGACAATAGCATTTAACTTCAAAAAGGGGAACACAAAAGTGAGGAGACTAGTTAAATGGAATTTAAAAGGAACAGTCACCAGAGTGAAATGCCTGTAAGCTGCATGGAACCTTTTAAAAAGCACTGTAATAGAGGCTCAAACTATGTGTACACCCCAAATAAAAGAGAAAACAGGAAAGAGCGCCAAGAAAGCCTCCTTGGCTAAACAACCGAGTAAAAGAGGTGTTTAGAGATAAATAGACATCTTTTAAAAATTGGAAGTCTGATCCGACGGAGGAAAATAGAAAGGAATCGTAGGACTGGAAGGGACCTCGAGAGGTCATCTAGTCCAGTCCCCTGCAGTCATGGCAGGACTAGCAAACATACACTCTGGCAAGTCAAATGTAAAAGTATAATTAGGCAGGCCAAAAAAGAATTTGAGGAGCAACTAGCAAAACACACAAATTAACAGCAAATTTTTGGAAGTACATCAGAAGCAGGAAACCTGCCAAACAATCAGAGGGACCACTCAACGATCGAAATGGTAAAGGAGCAATCAAGGAAGATAAGGCCATTGCAGAGAAGCTCAGTGAATTCTTTGCATTGCTATTCACTGCAGAGGATGAGAGTGAGATACCCACACCCGAGCCATTCTTTCTAGGTGACAAATCTGAGGAGCGGTCCCAGCTTGAGGTGTCAGTAGATGAGGTTTTGGAACAAATTGATAAATTAAACGGTAATAAGTCACCAGGACCAGATGGTATTTGGCCAAGAGTTCTGAAGGAACTCAGATACAAAATTACAGAACTACTAACTGTGATATGTAACCTATTGCTTAAATCAGCCTCTGTACCGGATGATAGGAAGATAGCTAATGTCATGTTGGGTTTTTTTTTTAAAGGCTTCAGAAGTGATCCTAAAGATTATAGGCTGGTAAAATGAATTTCTGTACTATGGTTTCAACCAATTTGCCTGGTACTGAACAGAATTATCAGACACTGAGATGAACACAGTATGTTGGGGAAGAATCAACGTGGCTTTTGTAAAGGGAAATCATGCCTCACTAATCTATTAGAATTCTTTGAGGGGGGTCAACAAATTTGTGGATAAGGGTGATAGAGTACTAGACCTTCAGAAAGCCCAATGTCCCTTGCCAAAGGCTATTAAGCAATGTAGGCAGTGTGGGATAAGAGGGAAGGTCCTCTTGTGGATCAGTAACTGGTTCAAAGGTAGGAAACACAGGATAGGAATAAATGGTCAGTTTTCACAGTGGAGAGAGGTAAATAGCAGAATCCCCAAGGATCTGTATTGGGGTTAGTGCTGTTGAACATATTCATAAATTGTGTGGGGAAAAAGGGGTAAACGGTGAAATGGCAAAGTTTGCCGATGATATGAAATTACTCAAGGTAGTTAAGTCCAAAGCTGACTGAGAAGAGTTAACCAGTTTTGTGAGATCCTTTTGTGACTGGCAACAAAATGGCAAATGAAATTCACTGTTGATAAAGCAAAGTAATTAATGCACATTGGTAAACATGATCCCAACTATGAATACAAAGTGAAAGGGTCAACATTAGCTGTTACCACTCAAGAAAAAGATCTTAGAGTCATAGTGGATAGTTCTCTGAAAACATCTGCTCAATGTTCAGTAGTGGTCAAAAAAGCAAACAATTTAGGAACCATTAGGAAAGGAATAGCTAATAAGACAAAATATCATAATGCCACTACATAAATTCATGGTACACCTTGAATACTAGTTGTCCCATCTCAAAAATATTAGAGTTGGGAAAAGTACAGAGAAAAGCAACAAAATTTATTTGGGGTATGGAACAGCTTCTATATGAGAAGAGATTAAAAAGACCAGGACTGTTCATCTTAGAAAAGAGACAATTAAGGGGCAATGTGAGAGGTCTAAAAAATCATGAATGGTGTGGATAAAGTGAATAAGGAAGTGTTCTTTAACCCTTCACATAACACATGAACTAGGGGTCACCCAGTGAAATTATTGGGCAGCAGGTTTAAAACAAACACAAGGAAATATTTCACACAACACACAGTCAACCTGTGGAACTTGTTGCCGTGGATGTTGTGAAGGCCAAAACTGTAACTGGGTTCAAAAAAGAATTAAATAAGTTCATGGAGGATAGGTCCATCAATGTCTATTAGTCAAGATAGTCAGGGAGGTAACCCTATGCTCTGGATGTCCCTAAACCTCTGACTGCCAGAAGCTGGGACTGGATGACAAAGGATGGATTACTTGATTAATTCCCGTGTTCTGTTCATCCCCTTCGAATCATCTGGCACCGGCCACTGTCAGAAGACAGGATACTGGGCTAGATGGACCGTTGATCTGATCCAGTATGGCCATCCTTATGTTATTTCAAAACACTCTCAGTAAAGTCTATAGATGATTAGTGCCCTACAAAAGGTTTTATGACATACCATCTTCTCCTTCCATCTCGTTTGTAGTGTGTGCTGTATTTATGGAGTTTAAAGATAAATCATCCCAAAACGCTGTTCCTGCTTCGAGGGAACCATGAGTGCAGGCACCTCACAGAATACTTCACCTTTAAACAGGAATGTAAGTATGCCCAATTCTCCTCAGTAATGACATAGATGCACGAGCACGACCTGGCCAGGAAGTCCTCTATTGGGCCTGCCTTGGATGGCCCAGCTGGCTTTGGCAAATGTATCTGCACCTAGCTGTCCTCTTGTTTCCAGTATTCTAGCACGTTGCTTTAAATGTGCTCAGTATTTTGGGTTGAACCAATCCTATGGAGTACTGAACATATGCTAAAGTAGCATTTGAGTTCTCTTGGTAAAAGGAATATGAATGCAGATAAAAGGAGCACAAGCCCATCTCCTGTGTTCCTGTCTTACTGACAAATGGTTGCATGCAAAGTCCCCCCGTCTCCCCCACAGCTTCTAGACCTAGCACCCTATAATTACTGCCAAGTGACTTTCAGTTCAGTTTGTGCAGCTGGAATTGGTGATTACAACTGGAAGAAAATAAAGGACTCTTCCTAGTGTTTGTACTGGGCGAATCATTACCGCTAAGATAATTTTATTTTAGTTAAATATAGTATTTATAACTTTTTAAAATATGTGAAACTAGTGCTGGTGAAAGGTCAAGTGGCGTGCCAGCCCTGGAGACTGAGATCCTCTCTCCACACAACAAGCATAGCAGAGGCAGCAGTTGTGTGTGCTTTGACCCTTACCTGAAAGAGTCGTCTCTAGAAGGCATGCAGTAGTTCAGTTCTGTGGCTCAGACTGCTGTCAGAGGGGTCAAGTGTGACAGGAAAGTACCTGTTTGTTCAGAAATGAGCTGAGGCACAGCTTGCTTCGTGCTGAACACTGAAGAGCCATCTGATGGTGGTCGTTAATGCTCCTGACTGAGCTGTGCTGGATTTGAGCCAGTGTGCTAGAGGTTAAAGGTTCTGTATTCTGTTCCCAGTATCCCCTGTTAAAAAGCATAATAAACAAAAACTGCCTTTTCTTGTACATAAATGTTTCACTACAGAAGCCTTTTTGAGCCACAGAAATAAGGGCAGGAGAAAACGAAAAATTCAGTAATACCACTTTTTCCTTGTAGATGAAGGTCAATCTTACAGTAACAGTAAGATTTTTCCAAGACATGGTTGAGATGAAACATCACCATCTAAGATGGCTGCCAGACACGAGACGATGTGTACTTTGATATGGTGATCTCCTAATGTGACTGCATGATGTTGTAGGGTCTTACTACTTCAATAACACCTGAGGGGGAACGTTTCTGAATCCGTCTGGCAGCTTGTTGTGAAAGCTTAGTTTCTGCATTTAGGAAACCCATATCAATTCTGTGACGCTTACTGAAAACCTTCCTAGCCTGTCTGTTAAAACAAGCAGCAAAAGACATCCAATTGCAGAGCATTAATGGTTAAGCCAGCAGGTGTCTGGACATATTGCTGCTTAGAACAGCACCTCCTGTTGTATCCATAAAAAGAAATTGAAAACATTGGCTTTTAGAATGCATTTTAATGTGGAGATTGGTGAATGTGACTTTTTTTTTTTTTTGGAGCCGTTTGGGCCAACTCAGCACGCTCAATAAGAGAACTTGTTCTCAGTGGCTTCTTGTAGGGGAAGGAACCAGATCACTTTGTGTTCTAATCCAGTCGGGCCTCGGGCGGAAAAGGTTGGGTCAGGTCAGTACTCAGGAGCCCCTGAAATAACACAAGTGGCAGGGAATGGTGCTGAAAGTGCCCTGAAGGGCTCTTTGCTCTCTGAATCAGTAATGAGCTAGTGCCTCAGCGTGGTGAGAGAACAGCTACTAGTTGATTGTCCCCCTGATATCAGGCTGAGGCATAAAGCTGAGAACCTGACCATATGTGGGCATTAAAGATTATATGCTATTTCTTGTAAGACTTGGTGTGTTAACCCCTGGCATCCTGGTCAAATTCTAGCTCCTTAGCCTCCCCGAGTCTCCCTTGGAGCACTTGTATCCAACTGAAACTGCAATTCCTGATCTAAACCGTTACATGGTACTGCTGTGCCAAGTTCAACAGCTGTTGCAGTTCCTAGTGTATCGTCTGCATCGTAGTTGAAGCTTGTAAGATTCTTTGGGGTCCTTTGAGATGAAAGGTGCAATATGACTGTAAGATATTTACGTGATTTTATTCGTCAACCAAGTTCTTTCTAACGGTTGGCAAATGCTGAGGCACCTCTTCCAGGAAGTTCTTGGTATGGAGGTAATATGCACTAGGATAAATTAATTTCTGAGCTTGAGGGGAGAAGATTAAAGTAAAAGTTCCTAACTGGGGCCACATTGGAAGCCTTTTGACTTTCAGGGTCATAAAGTATTTTCCTAGACAGCTCTATTAATGGGCTAGAGGAAAGCTTTGCTTAGAATGTCATAGGTGTAGACTGTTTCTATTTCACTGTCTATATTGGCTTCCTGGAGTCTCTCTGACAATGCTCCTACAGATCAAGGCCTTTGCTGCCAGTTCCTGTAGTATGTTAGTCTGAATGCACGAACGGTCTGGAACCTTTTCATTCAACTTGATCAACCCTCATTGGGTAGAAGATAAATCATCTTCTCTCTCTCCCGCCTGCTCTCCCCATTAGGTCGAATCAAATATTCGGAGCGAGTGTATGATGCATGTATGGATACATTTGACTGTCTTCCTCTCGCCGCCCTCCTAAACCAGCAGTTCCTGTGCGTCCATGGAGGACTGTCTCCAGAAATCACATGTCTAGATGACATTAGGAAAGTAAGTAATCTCACTCGTCATTCACACTGACATTTTTATTGGGCACTTGTATTATGAGGGTTCGATTTTTAGTTGCATACTCACACAACCCATCTCTGGTGGACATGAGTTATTGCTTCCTCTGGAATCTTGGATTGTTGAAGTTTGGTCTTAATAGGGCTTTCTTTGATCCCTTTACCGAAAGGGGTTGTCTGCAGTTTAAGCATCGGGTTCGATACCCTCCTGGGAGCCCAAGATCCAAGCAGGAAAAAATCAGCTTTTTTTCTTTCTGAGGTAAAGAAATTGAGTTCCAAGCAGTTCAGTGTGTGTGGGCCTTTTGGACACTGTAAACAAGCCAAAGCCCTGTCTATTGCACGGACATTACACTCCTTAGTCCTTATTATGGAGCGTTCGGTGCACTGGTTAACAGCCTTTGCACCCCACAGGTGGCTGCTGCATATAAGTAGTTTGACATTCTTTGTTGAAAAACAAGCTATGGACGTTTGATATTCCTCCATTTTATCTGCTGTTTCTGATACTCCCCCATGTATCTTGAGACAGCATTATGGTCTGTAGTTCTGCAGCACAGCTCAAGCTACTTTGTGTTAGAGGGTAATGGATCACACACTTTTCTTCCTCTCTCTCCCACCTCATCCTTAGTTCTCTCACGCAGCCAGAGCTGGTTGGTTGCAAGGGCCTGACAGATTGTCCCAAAGTTGGGCCTTCAGTCAGCAAAACTCCAGGCTAATTAAAGGCCTTTGGGTTGGTTACTATGACTTGGTTCCAACTCTTCTTCCTAAATTGCTACTTGGTAGCTTGTCACTGGTATAGTTTGCATTTTTAAGTCTGCAGTATGTTTTTTGTTGTTGTATAGAATTTACTTTTTCTTCCACCATGTAACAAGTTAATAACATCCTTGATGCTGATGGCATTGAATTTCTGTAGACACTTTGAGTGTAGGCAACATTCTCTAGTGGTTAGACCAGGGAGCTTAGTCAGATAGTATATGCTGGTTCTCCCACAGCGAAGATCTCTTCTGAATGTTTTGAGGGAAAAGGGAAAGCAGGCAGGGGCAGAAAGCCAGGTAACTCATGAGCATCCAAGTGATGACCAGATGGCTGCCACTCAGACTTTGCTCCCCAGAAGATTGGAAAAAGGGAAGGGAGGAAGCTCAAATCTGTTGAGTAGACTCAGTAAGAGAGGTGTCCAAAGCTCTAATCCTAATTCATTCAAACTAGCCCATCTCCAGAGCTCTTCTGCTTAGGGGCATGTGCCCCTTCGTTACAAAGCCACTTGACCTCCACAATTGTCCTCATTTTGTGTGCACCTTCCAGTTAGACAGGTTTAAAGAGCCTCCAGCCTTTGGTCCGATGTGTGACCTACTCTGGTCTGATCCATCAGAGGATTACGGCAATGAGAAGACGCTAGAGCATTTCACTCACAACACTGTTCGAGGCTGCTCCTATTTCTACAGGTAAGCAGAGTTTCAGTGGGGCTCAGATGAACTATGGCTTCTGACTTGCCCTGGGTAGTGTTTTAAAAGCAAATGGAGAGAGGGATTGAAATCCAATTGTGGTGTTAAATGCCCCTACTTACCAAGTTCTTGGGTTGTCTGTGTTAGCACAGAAATACATGAACTTGCTTTAAAGCTGTTTTTCCCCTATGGGAAATCTACTTGGGTGGTACTTGACTCCCTGAAGCTGGCCCAAGGATGCATCACTTGATGAAATCGCAAGTATCCAAGGTTGTAATGAGACTTCTGGTACCTGTTGTGGTGCTTTTGGAGAGCCTTTCAGGGGCCAGAAGGTATCAAGGGGATTTCAGAAGGAAAGAAATAATTTTAAAAAATTAATTTTTTGTACTTGGCTCCTTGCAACCTGGCTGGTTGGGATTTAGCATAGGAATCCAGACTGACTACTGTTTCCAATGTGCTTTGTGATGAATCTTTAAAAGATGGCACTATACATGGTTGTGGCCTTATTTCAGAGGCGCTGAGTGGTTGCAGCTTTCATTGGCTTTGAAGGGTGTGACTACACTGCTGCTGGGAGTGAGCCTCCCAACCTGGGTAGACAGACTTGTGACTGCAGGGCTCTAGCTAGCATGCTACGAATAGCATTGGGAACGTTGCTGCACTGGCCGAGGCTTGCTCTAGCCACCTAAGCGCGAAGCCAGAGGATCAGGTGGATCCGAGCTCGGCGGCTAGTGCAAGCCTCCACTGGTGTACTAACATCCACGCTGCTCTTTTTAGCACACTAGCTTGAGCCATGCAAGCATCAGTCCCCCAGCCAGGCTGGGGGCTCGCTCCCAGCTGTAGGGTAGACCTATGTAAAGATGCTGAGTACGTCTGAAATCAGCCCACAACTATGTGCAGTGCTTTCATTTAAAGATTTAATTCCAAAGCTCATGAGACCATTAATGCTCTTTGTTCTCATTTCTCCTGCCTCCCTAGAGGAGGGAGGATTTTTGTCTTTGCTACCTGCTAATGTATTTAAAACTCTTCTTTTCAGTTACCCTGCCGTTTGTGAATTTTTGCAAAACAATAGTTTATTATCTGTAATCCGAGCTCATGAAGCCCAGGATGCCGGGTAAGTGCTGCAGTGCTAGGACTGTGCAAGAATGGGTTTTCTTGATTTTTTTTTTTTTTTTTTTTTTTTCCTACCCTTAGCCAGACCAGAATGCTAACACCATGCCCTGCCTTCTAGGTACCGAATGTACAGGAAGAGCCAGACAACAGGCTTTCCATCGCTAATCACAATCTTCTCTGCACCAAACTACCTAGATGTGTATAACAACAAGGGTAAGGCTGGCAAGGCCGCATCTCTGCAGTTGTTTTGGATGCCAGTGCTGTTTTAATATTAACCCTTAGGAAACCCCTCTCCAACTTCCTCCTTCTGTTTTGTTGGCAGTAGCCCCAGCTCACTCCATCCTTCTCATTTGAATGAAGCCTCTTCCACTTCCCTAGGGGCGCGCACAGCCTGTGAGCCAGAACATGCTAGTCACTGAGCCCAACTGCATCGTGCTAGCTGCTGTGTGCTGCTACCCCTCTTCTACCAGCCTGGCCTGACCTGCTGATATGATTCTACTCCCACTCATCTGGTTCTCAGCTTTCAGGGGGAGGTGGGTGTCTGGGAAGTGACAGCTGGGGAAGGAGGTGGGACAGCTCAAAACAGGCTCCTCAAGATCCCTGAAGTTAGTATTGCCTTTTATCTGCCACAGTGGTCTGATGGAAGCCTAAGAAAACATCTCCTCTTCAATGTGATGTGTGCCTGGGGTAAGCTAGGGTTGAATCCAAAAGAGCTTCATTAAGTGTCATTTTGACAAAAGCCTGTCAACTCATAGTGAAGGTTGCCACTCTGTGAATGACTTGACCCTATCCCAACCCATGTGTTGAAGTACCAGTGCACAAAGGAATAAAGAAACCATGGAGTTAGTAGCTTTGGATCTGAATTTCTTTCCTTTAATCAGTTGAACTTAGATACTTCAGCATCACATTATTGTCCTTTTTTGGGTGATGGCACTGAATGAGAAGTAGCTCTGCTATTAGCATTGCAGCTGCATTCAAATTGGCAGCAGATTGTTGTCATTGCTAACTGAAGTCACGCACTGTTTCGTTGACATCATCAGGTCAGTGGGTCCACAGGACACACTATAGCTAGAAGCGTTTGACACATGTAAACATGAAGGAGAAGGAGGAAGAAAATTGTTCAGAATAGTCCGTGGTGGTTAGAAATACAAATAATGGGATGAAAATGAGCAAAGGTAAAATTTAGGCTGAGAGCAGGAACTCTTTCCTAAGAGCCTGATCTGTAGGGCAGAGGAATAGTCTTGAAGAGAAGTTGGTGGCAATCACTTAGTTACTCTGGACACAGACCAAGTGTATGCTTCAGAGGGAGCAATCTTAAACTCCTTGGTCAAGAGTGCTTAATAGGCCTTCACCTCTGATTCTGGTATCTGTGGGAGTGTCAGCTTGTACCATGTCATCAGGGGCCCTTAAATGAATATTGACATGCATTGGGAAAAGGAGGATTGTTGTGAAATTAGAACCACACTGAGGACTAAAAGCAGTTGTGAATCTTGTTTCTAAAACTAAAAGCTAAAGCATTTTTCTTAGTCTAAACTAGACTAAGTAGCAAACTTAAGCAAGAGCCCTTCTTTCCCACTCTGACTTTAACTGGCTTTAATTGGTTATTATAGCGTCCCCCTCTAAGATGGCAAGTTTGCATGCTGTTATAACTAAACTGTCCAGTTATAAGCCCTGGGGGAATGACATACATGCTGGTAATGGTGACTGTGCCACTGTAACATGCAGTTGCTGTCCATGTTCATAAACTGTAACCCCTCTGATATTAAATAAGAAGTGAGGGAAACTTTCCGCCTATCTTTCTAACCTTTACTTAGGATCCAAGAGTTTCTAGTTCACGGTTTCTTTGAGGTGACCGTTTTGAGGCTTCTGAGCAGAGTGTACTTTTTCTTTAGAGTCTCATTATATTGTCCTGGGGAGCTATATGGAAGATGAGCTATTGTGAAATGTCTAAAACTTCATGCCCTGTAGTCGTCGATAAACTGAAAATACCACTTAAGCCTCTTAATTCTAGATAAGTAGTAGTTTGGTGCTGCGCAAATGGAACTGGTTGTCATTGTTTGATCACTAACGCTCAGTGCTAGAGGGAGACCGTCTTTGCGCCTCAGAGCTCACAGTGCCTGCATACACACACTCCCTCCCTCTCCTTTTCTAGCTGCTGTGCTGAAATATGAAAACAATGTCATGAACATCAGACAGTTCAACTGTTCTCCACACCCCTACTGGCTTCCAAACTTCATGGATGTCTTCACATGGTCTTTACCTTTTGTAGGGGAAAAGGGTAAGAAAAATAAAGCATTCAGATTTCTGTTTGGCCTAAACAGTGACAGATCATAGCACTGTATGTGATAAAAGCCTCCTGAGGGTAACTAAATATCTGTAAATATCAAATCAAGGGATTATCTCGGAAGTTTTAAATATGTGGTGCAGCCCGGCCGTGTAAAATGGTATGGATACGTAGTTCAGACTTATCATGACCTATTATACAGTAGTAGAACTCTGATTGCTAAAGTTCGTCAGATTTTAAGTTTCTTTGGGGAAAAAAGTCTGCTTTGCCATTACCAAGAAGTTAAATAAAATGGTCCCTGTTTCACAGTATTTTTGTACTGATGAACCAGCCCTGATTAGGTAATTCCCCCAACTGTGCTGACATCTTCCATGGTACACAAAGAAAGAGGTAAATACGATGTAGATGTGTGGTCCATCAGAAAGAGCATTCACCACAGTCAGGGAGAGGCTTTGATTTCAGCTTTAATAAGGTATGGCTGCCTAAAAAAACAGATTGTGCCAAAATTCCAGCTTCTTCATAAAGGAGCGCTGCTCTCTCCCAAACAGTCTAGATTCTCTTTCAGGGCTTTAGGTTTTGGGGATAGCTTAAAGGTCTAAAATGTTGACTCTGTGGAACCAAAGATTGAAATTCCAGAAGAGCTGACATTCCCTGAAACAGATGGAGTATTATGCAGTTTTTATGGGGTAGGGGGAGATGAGGGGGAATGGGAAGGGCTCTTAACTGAGACCCAACCTCTTCTGCATGAACACTGTGGATACCACACTCCCTGACCAGTTCCCATGCAGTTGTGCAGCATTCTGTGCAATGCTCAGATTGCACCCACCTCTATGACGGAGGATCTCAAGTATCTAATCAAATGTATTTTGGGATCCTCTGCAATGAAAGATGCTGCAGAATGTAGCTATAAAATATCTTTGGGCTCCCTCTTCAAATGTATAAATGACTGATCTCATTGGTTCAATCCAGCTCACCATCTCAGATACCCTCCCCCCTTGAGCAGTGTGAGCGCCAGCCCCCTCTAATCTTCCTACCGATTTGTCACTACTTCTTGCAGTCACAGAGATGCTGGTCAACATCCTCAACATATGCTCTGATGATGAGTTGATTTCAGATGGTGATGAAACTTTGGAAGGTAACAACCTTTATTACAAGTTGGGCTGATAACAGTGGTGAGGGAATGGTTTAAAGCTAAGCTAAGAGATTGGCATCCACTTTAGAACTAGAAACAAAACTGTCCCTTTGCGATCTAGTGACAGTGAAGTGCATAGGGTTGTACTTATTTGTGGCAATGCACTCCTCGCTAGATAACCTGAAGAATGATTTCCTGGCATTACGAGGTCATGGGATTATTCCCCATTTTATTTTTTCTGACTCAAACATTATTACCCAATCTACTGCTGCAGACAGTCTTTCCGCTGCTACTCTGCCCCTCTAGATCTAAACTTTAACACTCAAGCACTGGGCCAATTTGTCCTTCCTTTTCATACTAGCTCCAGAAATAGCAGCCAATTATTTGGTCCTGATTAGTGATTTTTGAAGTGATGATGTGTGAAGAAAGCTGAATGCAGGTGGAGTAATACATAAATTTTGATAAATGGAAAAGTACTGAGAGAAAATAAAGTAAATATGGCATGGAAGTAGTAGGGAGGTATAATGTAACAAGGTGCCACTTCTATCAACAGGTGGAGACTTTAACCCGCTTCTCCCATTGAATTTCATTTTTGATTTTTTTTTCCCCCTCCCTCCCATGAAAATTAAATTTGTTTCTTCTATCTCTGTCTTCATCTCCTTGTTTCTTGGTGTCTCCTCTCCCTGAAGATCACTACATTTCAAGCTATCAGAAAGGTACCCAGCTAGAATTTGCTGCAAGCTTAATTCTCACTGCCTGTGTCACCAGATTCCTTGGAGTGGATTTGAATAGCTGACTAGTTGGGGAGGCTCTCCATCCCCCTTTCAGTTTTAACATAAGCGCCGTGTGTTTTTTAACCCTGCTATGTTCCTCTAGGAACTTGAGAGTTGGGGTCACATTTCTATTTGGCTTCCAAATGCAGCCACCTAGTGCATGGCTGAACCATTGGTGCATGTTCAATCTCCAGTTTGGCTTGTACTGTTCTAATGTTTGATAGTGCCATTTGAAGAGTCTTAGCTGAGAGGAGATGTATCTATCCTATTTTATCATCAATCACCTTCCATGTTTTTCTCCCAGCATACATAGTAAAAGGGGGGAGTACACCTACCTCACTGTATGTTTGAGTGAGAGTCAAAGCAGAGTTGCAAGGCAGTGTGTGTTTATGTCAGAGGTGATGCTTGTGTGACCACTCTCCCTTCTCCAAGCACAGCCCAGCATTCCAAGGTATTCATCAGCGGTCAGATTTGTCTGTGTTCTGCCTTACCAAACTGTCTACATGGCTGAGTCATTTGTGTTACATTCTGTGTAACGTGATCTGACCTGTCGAGTAAAGATCTGCTGCTTCCCGCAAGAACTGTGAGATCCATTCTTCTGGTGGTTCTGCTCTTTCCTTAGACCTTTATTCTGTGTCATTTTGTCAGTGTCACCATTCTCATTTCCATTCCTACTCCCTCCCAAGAGATTGTTTTCTAGAGAACATAGCTGTAAATTTGTAATCCATGATTTCTCTTTCCTAGAGCCAGACAGATGCCGCATACTGACATTACCTGTGGCTTTAAAAGGGGGGCAGAAAATCCTTACACAATTTGTTTTCTTTCAAAGCAGGCACGACCGTCCGTAAGGAGATCATCAGGAATAAGATCAGAGCCATTGGGAAGATGGCGCGTGTTTTTTCAGTTCTCCGGTAAGAAGGCAACTTGGGAGTGTTTTGTGTGTGAGCTTAAAGTGCAATCTGGGTAGTGGGGGGTTGCTCCTCTGTCTGACCCGTATGAGTGAAGGTAGTAGTATGCAGGCTGGAATCCAGCTGAGAGAGACTGCAAAACTATATCAAAATGGGGAGTCTGGGTTTGGGGAAATTGCTCCCATCTATCCGTAGTCTGGTGCTGCAAAGCTGATGGTCAGTCCTGTTCTTCGGGGACTACAAAAACCTCCATCCCATCAAAGCTAGCATCCTCATCAACAGAAAAGATTAGACCTGTAGTGGGGATCCCTCCAGATCAGAGGTGCATTTCATTTAAATAAGGAAGTATTGGTTGAAGTTGCCATTGGCTTTGCTGCACGTCGTCCTAGTAAATAGAGCACCTGAGCCTGCAAGGTTGTATTAAACTTCCTGGTGGAAAAAGACATTAAATGGAAGCTGTTTGGATCACCTTCGGCAGTTTACTGCCAAGATGGTACAGACCTAGGCTTGAGGGTTACCCAAAGGTAAGTACGTAGCATTCCCCTAGGAGGGAAGGAATATTTTAGTGAGCATGCCGCTGGCTGTAACCCTCTTGCCTGAATGCTGGTTCTGATAAGAGTAATCCATCCTTCTGCATCCTTTTTTTTCAGAGAGGAGAGTGAGAGCGTGCTGACTCTCAAGGGCCTGACTCCCACAGGTACACTGCCCCTGGGAGTCCTCTCAGGGGGAAAGCAGACTCTACAGACTGGTGAGTACATGCGAAATAACCCTTTCAGTGAGCTCCATGCACAGTGTATCTCATGCTCCAGTGTTACACGTGTACATAGGTGCTTCTCGACGTGTGGCTTGGGACATGCGAGGGAGCCACCAGCACTTGTTTGGAGGAGTCAAGATTCTCTATTTGCCATATCTGGTGTTCTGCTGAAGCAGAGCTAGCACGGAAATATCTGGCCTTCGGGTGCCACCATAAACCATTGGGCCAGTTCCTACAGTTCCTCTCCTGCAGCACCATGGGAATGGGGGCAAAGGATTCTCGGGAGGACCATTGTGTGGGATCATAGGAGGGAACGGTTGAGAACTCCTGGTATGAAGTGATACAAACTGGGGTGGGAGGTCTTTTCTAAAATACTAGTATAATCTCGTGGTCAAAGGGTTGTCCCCCCGCTCTTAACATTGCCTCCAGGCATTCTCTGCTTCAGCTACGCTGCTGCTGCTGTGTAACAATGTACATGAATAGTACGATAAATGAGTCTGCTTTTTAGGTTTTTTTGTCAAAATAAATCCCTTTGTTTTCAACCCTAATATTATGATTCCAGGAGGGGGGAACTTATATTTTTACTTTGAAATAGGTTAGTTCTCTCAAGTATGTTTTTGAAGTTCAAACTTGGCAATCCCAGTGACTTGGTCCATTGGGTTTGAGTAGCTTTCCTGTATGCTTGTTACTTTCTCTGTATTTTTGGCAAGTACGCTTGTTGCTCCCCACCTGGGCTTCCCACCAATCAGTCTCAAATTATATTAACGTTCTGAGAGTAGCACTGATCAAACCTCACATAAGTAATGTGTTTCAGGCCACAGGGGGTGGAGATTGGCTGGTGGTCAGGGAATGAGTTATTATCGTAACGTGTGTCCCCCAGAGGGAATCCCGTAATCTAGTGTTTTAATCCTTTGCTGCTGCCAGGTCTTCAGTACTGGCATATAATCGGCCTGCTTTCCTTTCCAATGAGCATTGGGTGATTTCCTGATGGCTCAGAAAGAGATGTCTCTTTGTTTAAATATTTCATGGGTGCTTGAGAGGAGACTTGCTATTGGGTTTAGAGGATGTAGCATCTTCCCAAGCTTTGTAGGTTTTCTTTGTCCAAGGAGATGTGCGAGTTTACTTTATGCTCTGTCCAAGGTGATTTCTGCCACACTGATTAAGCTACAGGCATGAGAATAGAAAGTCAGTAGGTGAGAGAGCAGGTGTTCACCTTGAAGGTGTTCTGATGACCTTGGGATACAAAAGACTAGAGCCGGACTTAGTCATGTAGCATTGTTTTATGCAGCTCTAGTTTGAAGGATGATGCATGTTATAGACCGGAGAGATGCAAACAAGCTTAGGACACAGACTTCTGTCCATTGCTTTTTTAGGTTATTCCTCTCCCCAGAACGCCCACCTCCTCAGAGGTGAGGTGCAATGCAGACATGTCCCAAAGTTTCTGAAGAGCTACGCTTTGACCTGAAGTGAAGGATTTTAGCTTTACACAGCTTCATAGTGAGCTTTGTGGTTTGATCATAATAGTGAGAGAGATGGCAGATCAATTAGATAATTCCTGCTGCTCTTACCCTGTTCTCCCTCCTCCTCGTTCAGTCTCTGTTGACTTCCCCTCTTCTGTATGAAGTCTGAGCTTCTCACCTTCAAGGCAATCATAACTCCACTGCTACCTGCATCTCCATGCTCTGCTCTTAAGCACCATCCTGCTTCTCATGCCCTCCCCAAGCCTCTCTCCTGGTCATTCCTTGTCCTTCTTGTCCACTCCTAACTTCATGCTGCCTTCCATGCTACCCGTATGCTTGGAACATGCACCAAATGCCCTCCTTCAAAAACCACTCTAGAAACTCCCCTGTTCTGTCATGCATTCCACAGATAATGTCCACACTGAGTTGTGAGCATTCAGTGTTGTATTGGGTCATCTTGTGCCCTCATTGTGAGGGCGGGGGGGCTGGGAATTGGTTTGCTCCCCTTCTCACCGTCTCTGCGCCATTTACAGATCTTTAATGACATGAGATTAACAAGAGTCAACGAAAGATGCTCAACCCAGAGCTACAATGTTAACGCACAACGTATCCCTTCCTCACCCTCTGTCTGGAAGCCTGAACACGTGACCTGTGCATTATGCCACAAGGATTTAACAATCTCAGGCACTCTCAAGCCTAAAGGGGAAATAAATTCCAGTCAAGGTCCCTCCATTGAGAATGCCCTGCTACCAGGTGTTCTGACAGGGGTTAAGCGCACAAGCACGTTGACAATCACAGCCGTTCCGGGGGCGGAGGGAGACATGACATTGCTGAAACCTTATGGTGTCCTGTTGCTTAGTAACCCTTTTTGTGGGAGGAGTTGAAGCCAAGTAGGTTTGAAATATCTGCCTGTGCTGCGTTCTACTTCAAGACATCAGGAGCCGAACAGCCTAGTTACTGTGCTACTCAGCACTCCGCTGCCAGAAAAGGAGCCAACCCCCTTTCCTTCCCCTCCTGTCCAAGTGCCAGCCTGTTGGTTAAGGTCAGCTGCTTCTTTAAATGACAAGGGCACTTCTGCCACAGGTAGGTTTGTGCACTGCAATCTCCAGGAGGCAGTGAGTTCCATCCATGGAAGTCTCCTTCCCAGAGCATCACTAAGCTGAAGGCAATAGCTGGTGCCCATTAAATGTGGCATTCTTCAGTTCGGGAGGTACCAGCCCCATGGCTGTCATGGGACACACATGCACCTGGCCCAGGGGGTGCTGAAAGGCCAGCCCTGTTAGTTGCTTTGTTAATTTTTTTGGACTCAGCAGTTTGACATGGATGGTGAACTTCGTGCCACTAAGAGGAAGGAGGCTCCCAAACAGCCTGAAGCTTGAATCCTCAGCTGAAAATCCCAGCTGAGTGAAATCCCCTTCCAGTCCTTCTGTCTCTAGTTCCTGTCAGTCCTTCTCTGCCAGCTGATCTTCATCACGATCCTTACTGGGGCGGGGAAGGTTGTGGGTCTCTAATGGCAGCAGTAATGTTAGTTCACTCACTCTTTTCTGTCTTCATTTTTGCATGCCACTGTTCCTCCTGTTTTACAGCCACAGTAGAAGCGGTAGAGGCACGGGAAGGTATGGCTAGAATCCTGCGAGAGACTCAATCATGTTTGTCTGCTAATTTTAAGGAGCTTTATCAGCAGTATGAAAGCTTTTTACTCTTGCATCACCAAAAAGGGGGGAGGATTGGCCCCTTCTGGGGAAATAAATAACATATTGGGCTACCTCAGATCTGTCTCAGCCTTGGTGTCCCAGAGATGAGTTGGAATGCTTAATTTCATGAGACCGGGCTTCTGGGACTGCTGTATTTCTGTAGCAGGATCCCAGACTGAGAATTCGGGTGTCTCATCAAGGTCCTAGTGTTGATTCCTGAAACTTCATCACTGGATGGTTTGTTGCTCAGCTCGGGCCTTTGACGATATGTTTCTGAAGGCTGCAAGAACAGTTGACCAAAACAATATAGGAAATATTTGATTGTATTTATTGCTATCGTGGCTCCTTGGGATCTGATCTCAGCCTTTCCCTAACCTTTGGGTGGAGTGAACACAGTGTGGAGAGGCAGTATCCTCTCTGCAGTTAAAGTAGTAATACCAGAGTAATGAAATTACTGCTTTGGAAACTTACATTCTCCTTCGCAATTTTATCGGATTTACATTGGGTAAAACCGCACTATTTGGAGATTACAATATCCGAAAGAATTTAATCTTTAAAAACACTTGGAGCAAAACCTTTTACTTAAATCTATTGTAAAGCAAACCAGCTAAATGCTTTGTGTAGGGCAGTCCCTGCAAGGAACTTGAATTACTGCAAGGTTGAGTAGAAACAAAGACATACGCATCTGCAGTGGGGCTCTGTCCCATGTGTTTAGCTCCTGGTCATGCAAGATAAAATGCTTCCTTTCCGATCCAAGGATTAGCTCTTTCTCCTCTTTGTGGTGTTGCAGTGCGTGGTTTTTGTGTTGAAGTAAAACACCCTTTGTTGATTTGTCCTCACTATTTTTTTTAGTATTACGTTTTTCAGCTTTGAAAGTGTGCTGCTATTTCACTGCATTAACTCTTCAGAACACAGGGCACATGTCTGGCCTGCAAGTTGCCCCCGCTAAACAGTATCGCAAGGGAAGTCATAAGTGAAAACCATGCAAATGAGCACTGGCTTTATTTGTGCTGCTGAGTAAATTGAACTGGGCCCTAGAAATCGGTTTAGTGAAAGGTAATGCAACTCTACATGTCACCAATAGAACTCTGCCAAGTGCATGAGACAATAACAGAATCATACAGAGATCTGCTACTTACTTTTTCTTAACCAGACATGTGCTCTGTAGCCACGACTCTCGGTTCTGTAATATGGTGTGTGCTGATAGGCTGTTCCTTGGTATGCTGTTGCACAGACTGACGCTCTTCTTTCCCCTCCTTGCTCTAGCCATCCGTGGATTTTCACCGCAGCACAAGATCCGCAGCTTCGAAGAAGCCAGAGGGTTGGACCGCATTAACGAACGCATGCCGCCGCGCAAAGATTCAGTGCACCCAGACGGGCCGGTGAACTTGGTAACCTCAACAAACTCTGCGGACAAGAACGGCACAGGGAAGAAAGCTTAGTAATGGTTCTAATGCCCAATCTGCACCACTAAAGGATCCAAAACTTAATGAATTTTATTTATTTATTATTGGGGTGGGATAGGGATGGGGAGAAATAAACTTAACCTGGAGGCACGTTCATAATCCAGTTTGCATCCATTCTGTAAGAAAGGTGACCATTTTGTAATTTTTTAATTTATGTTCAGTATATAAAAAGTCCATCTTTTTTAATTTAGAAACCAATCTATTTGCTAGTGCATATATGAAGTGTTGTGCTGTACAGCTGACCTCTCCCACACAGAAGGGGATCCTCTGAGGATTAAAAAAAAAAAAAAACCCACACAGAGTCCCAAGCAACTTTGACTTTGGTACAGTTTTAAATTAGCCTGTGCTTTCAAAAGCAGCAACTTTCATTTTAAAACATGTTTTCACAACTGTCTTCACTGAATTTGCTGTTGTTTTCTTCAACTTTTGTTGTCTAGCTGCATCCGCTGCTTTAGCAATTGATTTTGTGGAAGATGGCATGCTGCGTGGTGCGACTGGCTCAGACCCATCCTTCACTTTTTGGAAGAATTTTTATCCTAGGTGATGTTAAAGTGGATAGTTCAGATTCCAGCTGGGGTGTTGCATTATCTCTTGGGGATAAGGGTACAAATTTTCCAGTTCTAGCATATTTTTTTCAGGATTCCAATAGAACAAAAAACTTGTTAGTATGACCTGGAAGGTGGGCATGGGAAAGCATCCCCTCTAGTCACCATTCTTTCTAAAGCTTCTGGTTTTCAGACTCTGTGAAGCAAACCATTTGCATCGTTCCATCAGTACAGACAACACTTGAAGTGCATCTAAATGTTCTTTACAGAACACCATGCATTTTGATTTACAGTCCATTGAAACAGGAGTAGGTCAGTGCACACTAGGGAGCATTTAGTGCACAACAGCAAGATCCATGTAGCCAGTTAATGCACTAGGATTTACACCCTAGCTTGCCGTGCACTGTGTCTTGACAAGCCCTTGGTGTTGGTGTTGCCACAGGCAGTAACAACCAGGACAGACAGACCGACCCCACACCCACCCACCATAAGGGATTAGGCGAGCAAGAACCTAGTGGCCAGTGGAGGTATGGAAGATGTATGCTGTATGGAAGATGGTGAGCCATCCAGGGAACATCAGTGACTCCATCTGAAAGAGGGAGTAATTTACCTGGCCACAGATAAGTGGATAGATGGCATGGGGAAGGATTGGTGATGTATATTGATCATTGCCCCCTTCCCCTAAATATCTGTGCTGTTGAATGGTCAGTGCAGAGAGGGACTTGTGAAACACGTACGTTCTTGGAAACCTTTGTGTCCTTTGGTTGTACTGCGGAGGATAATTTTTAGAGAAGAAAAGTGGCTTGGAGAACTCAGTGGATCTGGGCTAGAGATTCTTGAAGGCAGTTTGTATAGTATATCTCTTAGTGAGTTGGGGGAAAGGAGATCTCTTTTGGGGATGGTGGGTTTCTACTATAAATGCACCAGTGGGGATGCCAAAAGATGGCCACTATACACTGTAAAGTGTTTTGAAGTTGGAATCTAAATAAGCAAAGTACCCAGTTTGGTTCATTTACTTATTCAGACTTTGACTGAATCCAGTTTTGAAACCGACTTTGAAAAATCCAAACCTGGTTGCTTATTTTTACAAAATGCAAACTCCTCATTTCCTGCCTTTCCCTTATTGGTCATTTTAGCTAAATCCCCTCCTCCTTATTCTATTGCAAAGCAGCATCACTCAAATGCTAGTCCCTGGCTGCTTTTCACTCGCCTTCCCACTTGAACAAATGTATGACATCTTGTGCCACCAAGCAGATGAGCAGGGTTAAACTCTACCCTCTAGGTGATCCACGCACCCTGTTCTCTGTTTTGTCTTGAAGTCCCTTGATGTTACTATCTTTCCTTCATGCTGTGGGCATAGTCGTTGATTCTCAGTCCCAGAGGAAGGCAGCTGCCTTACAGGAATCTTTTAAATTGTCACTTCTAATGATATGTCACAAACTTAATTTCATACCAGTTATTTAGGACACTGCATCTGAGCAGATGGGGGTTTTAGCGATGGACTCTTACAGTCACGTGTCACCATTTTTTTTACATGACTGCCACTTTGTGAAAGTGAGTGTTTTTGGAAGGCTTGTCTGTTTCTTACTCCATGTGGGGCAAGGGGTCCCTTTCGATGTCCCTTTTCTTTCTATGGCATCTGTTCCAAAGCAGGAATAGACCTAAACATTACATCTTCCTTTTAAAAGATGGATGGTAGTGCAGTATGCTGCCCTACACGCTCTGACCTGGCTGAGATCTTCTCTGAGCAGCATCTCTGGTTCAAGAGCCATGTGGCAGGCACCAGAAGGAGATGAATCTGTCCCTCCTTAGGGGTTAGTGAATAACGGGGGGCAGATGTTTGACTAGGTGGGATCCCTCCTGTACATAGTAATGGTGGGAGGAGAAGACACTGCCAAGGTATCCTCTGCTCATCACGCTTTGGAAGCTTAACACTGACCGTTGTTTCTGCGCCAGTTACAACGGAAGCTTTGCTCCTGGGCTCTGGGCTGCTGGTGTTGGCTTTCTTGAAAAGAAAAGGTGTTTGTTCATGAAACGCTGTCCTGTTCTGTGCTTTTTTTAAAAGCAGGTCGCACTTCAGCCCTACCAGCTTCTACTGTAACCCTCTTTGCCCTTACTCCTCAAAGAAAAAGATCAGTTTCTGTTTCAAACCTGGAGGCTCACCATAGCATTGCTTAAGTGGTGTTTGCAAAGCATGGAGCTTCGAAACCATAGTTACTGGAGCTGCGTGCTTGCCGCAATTATCCATCCTCAAATAATCGGGGGACATAACTGGGGGTGACAGCTGGCTTCCTAAATTCTGATTGGCTTGTGACTTAGCAATACGTTGAGCCAGAGGGGGCTTGTTTTTAAGCTTGTTAATTGTTGGGTGTTCCTTAAACAGGAGTCCCGAGTCCTCTGCTAATTGTCAGTCAATGAGGCTGTCTCCGATGGGGAGGAGCCCAGCTCTCACATTAGTCACAATCAGTTTGAATGAGCAGTACTGAGCGGCTCTGACAGCAGTCACTAGCCCAGCATGTTGTGGGCGGAAGGAGCTCTCTGGGTGACTCATGGCTTCCCCATGCAGGAGCTATCCGGTCTTTCCCCTCCTTATTCGATCAAGCTGAGAGCTGCTGGAAACGTATTCCATATCCCACACAAGCCCATGCAGATAGGATGCTGTCAGGCGAAGAACAGCCTCCCGTTGCTATGGGAACAGTGCCAGGGTCTGTGTTTCTTCAGCACAGTATGCAGTGTTCTTAATGGGGCGAGGGGGTGAGCAGCAGTGCAGATTGGGGAGAGTGGGTGTTAATTACCCCTTAATTGATGTTCATCTTGTAACCTTCCCTGTCCTGGCTTTTCCTGTTTAATTCAGAGGTTAACTAGCTCCTGTTGCGCCGAGTGGTGCTGTAAGTGGGTAGCCGTCTGTGAGCAGTGGTGATCGTGCATTGACAGTCGGGGAAGAGTGTACCATCACCAGCTGTGGTTGTCTTGGGCATGTTGAGATTCCACCTGCAATCAGAGCCAGGAGTGGCCAGGATTTTTGCTTTTAAAATGTAAACAGTATGTGAACCAACCTTCAGTGCTAAGCATTTAAACCTTGCAGTCCCCTTCACTTCTGTTCTTTGTGTCCCAAGGAAGGAGGGGGAGAGATACCTCGAAGCCTAGGCCTTTGAGTGCTGGGCAGCTCTGTAAAGAAAGCAGAGCTCATTCCCAGCAAAGCATCATCCCACAACCACAGCCTTTGGTGTGAGAGGGGCTCCTGTCCTTCTGCATTGTAACGGACAAGTGCAAAGAACTGTGGCCTTCAAAGCCATGTCTGAGAGAGGGAGGTGCTTAAATATTTCCCCTGCTCCCAGTGCAAAAGTATTGCAGAGACATGAAGTAGTTTCTCCTCTTCCAGCTCCCCATCCCATCTCCCAGAAACCCAGCACTGGTTCTGCCTTGGAACTATGCATGTCTAAAGAGGCTTCATCTCAGAGCTCCATTCCGTCCTCTGTTTCCATCCCCTCTTGCCAGCCAGCTGCAGAAGCTTGACAAATGAGACTTTGCAAAAAAATAAAATAAAATAAAATAATTAAAAAAAAAAAACACAAAAGCCAAGGAGTACAATCAGTCCATGGAACTCCAGACTATTAAGGGCAGTGCACTCCTTTCTCCACAAGGCTGTCCCTAGCAGCCTGTCTTATTTTTGCATGTTATAGCAAGGTGCATGTAACAAGGAGGGAGTCAGCAATGGGATATTTTAGCATTGGGAACAAAGGTGCATTCACCTTGTTTTGGGAGAACCTTTTACTGTGATGCCATCCCGCACACCTATTTTTAAGGGCCTTCCTTGGCACACCACCACACTCGGGTAAATCTTACCTAGCTAGATTCTTGTAACGGAACAGCTCGGAGGCTTGTCTGCCTCAGACCCAAAGGACGGTCAAGCCCCTAAGAACATGTGTTGGATATGGTGATGATAACTTAGGTTCTCGCCGCTGAAGGAGCATATGCCCGTTGCCTGGAGACTGCCTCCTTTTTTCTTGCTTTTTTTAGTTATGTTTAAAGAAAAATGGTGAAAAATGTTATTTATTGGCAGAAATTATTTAATATAATTTCTCTTTTTTGTGAACAAGGAATGAATTTGTTAGAACTGTCTTAATGTAAATTGGAAGTCATCTTTAAAAAAAAAAGTTAAAAATTAAATGACAGTCATTTGGCTCTGGAGTCTTTATTTAAATCCAATTCACTGTGGTGCGTCTGAGGATCATAAGAACAAGAACATAAGAATGGCCATACTGGGTCAGACCAAAGGTCCATCAAGCCCAGTATCCTGTCTACCGACAGTGGCCAATGCCAGGTGCCCTAGAGGGAGTGAACCTAACAGGTAATAATCAAGTGATCTCTCTCTTCTGCCATCCATCTCCACCCTCTGACAAACAGAGGCTAGGAACACCATTCCTTACCCATCCTGGCTAATAGCCATTAATGGACTTAATTTCCACGAATTGATCCAGTTCTCTTTTAAACCCTGTTATAGTCCTAGGCTTCACAACCTCCTCAGGCAAGGAGTTTCGCAGGTTGACTGTGTGCTGAGTGAAGAAGAACTTCCTTTTATTTGTTTTAAACCTGCTGCCATTAATTTCATTTGGTGGCCCCTAGTTCTTATATTATGGGAACAAGTATATAACTTTTCCTTATTCACTTTCTCCACACCACTCATGATTTTATATACCTCTATCATATCCCCCTAGTCTCCTCTTTTCCAAGCTGAAAAGTCCTAGCCTCTTTAATCTCTCCTCATATGGGACCTGTTCCAAACCCCTAATTCAGGGTCTGGTAAACTTTTTGGCCCGAGGGCCACATCGGGTTTCAGAAATTGTATGGAGGGCCGGTTAGGGGAGGCTGTCTCTCCCCAAACAGCCAGCTGTGGCCCAGCCCTCACCCCCTATCTGTCCCCTCCTGCTTCTCGTCCCCTGACGGCCCCGCCAGGACCCCTGCCCCATCCACCCCCTGCCCCCGCTCTCTGGCCCCTGACCGCCCCCGGACCCCCTGCCTCCCCATCCAACCCCCCCCCCCCGGATCCCTGCCCCATCCAACCACCTCTTCTCCCTGATCCCTGACTGCCTCCCGCTGCCCCATCCAACCCCTACTCTCCTTTCTGACTGCCCCCCACGGACCCCTGCCCCCTCCAACTATCCCATCTCCCTAACTGCCCCCGGAACCCCTGTCCCCATTCAACCCCACTGTTTCCCGCCCTCTGACTGCCCCAACCCCTATCCACGCCCCTGACCACCGCCCAAACTCCCCTGCCCTCTATCCAACCTGGACTCCCTGCCCCCTTACTATGCTGCCTGGAGCACCAGGGGCTGGTGGCCCAGCTGCGTCAGGGCAGGCACCTGGGCTGCCCGGCTGGAGCCAGCCGCACAGCACAGAGCACCAGGTCAGGCCGGGGATTGCCCCAGGAGCTCACAGCCCCATGCCCAGAGCATTGCACCAGTGGCGCTGAGAGCTGAGGCTACAGGGGAGGGGGCGAGCCTCCCTGGCCAGCAGCTCAGGGGCTGGGCAGGAGGGTCCTGCGAGCTGTAGTTTGCCCACCTCTGCCCTAATCATTTTAGTTGCCCTTTTCTGAACCTTTTCTAATGCCAGTATGTCTTTTTTTTTTTTTTTTTTTTTGAGTTGAGGGGACCACATCTACGCAGTATTCAAGATGTGGGTGTACCATGGATTTATATAAGGGCAATAAGATATTCTCCGTCTTATTCTCTATCCCTTTTTTAATGATTCCGAACTTCCCGTTTGCTTTTTTGACTGCCGGTTGCACGCTGTGTGGACGTCTTCAGAGAACTATCCACGATGACTCCAAGACTTTTCTCCTGATTAGTTGTAGCTACATTATCCCCCATCATATTGTATGTATAGTTGGGGTTATTTTTTGTACATTTATCTACATTAAATTTCATTTGCCATTTTGTTGTCCAATCACTTAGTTTTGTGAGATCTTTTTGAAGATCTTCACAGTCTGCTTTGGTCAGTGGGTTTCCAGTCATTGGCATATAAGGCCTGGAGAGGAAAATCCTGCTTCTGTTTGCACAGGGATTTGTTCCTCAGAGTGATATTTTTGGGATAGGAATGCCCTTTCCATGTCACATGACCTGCAGCCACACCACTGTTGTGGTGATCTCACATGGTAACACTGCTACCTACTTCTTATGTATAACACTTTGGCCAGAGATCTCGCGCCCTATAAAAAGGAAGATCAGTATTTGACAGATGGGGAATCAGACACAGAGAGGGGAAGTAACTTACCCGTCACCCAGCCGAGCCAGGAATAGAATGCAGGTTTCCTGACTCCGTCCATTGCCCGAGGCACTGGCCCACACTGTCTCCTGCCGCTAAGTCTGGCTGGGCTGACTCAGAACTTGATGGGAGGCTTCGAAGAAGCAGGTTGGGGGTGCAGGAAGTTCTATTTTATTTAGGTGTATTAATACCATGGTTATCACCATAGCCTCAGAGTACCTCTGTGGTGCCCTGGATCTGGTAGGTACTCTCCTCTTAGCATGGCTCATGGAGCTGTGCTCTAGGACGGAGTCCTCTGCGTAAGAGGGGCTGAATAATCATAGTGATTAAAGATGGCCAGTCTTTTCTTAAAGATGCGGGTGTTTAAATACAGTGAAACTCCAACTCAGCTAACACTACTGTGCCTGGCTAAATTCCCTCTTTTGTTTCCAATGGATTCTTCTTCCCTTCCTACCTTAAACTGTGGGATAGTGCATTCACCACAGCTGCTGCATTGCAGGCTAGAGGTTGCTGATATTCCTACATTTCACCTCCCTCCCCAGGTAGGTTGAGGGTTAATTATAGTTGTAAGGTGCTCAGATCCTTGTCTGAAAGGCAGAGCAGTAGCTGGTACTATTCCAGCAAATGCCTGTGAGTTGTCCCCCAATCGCTATTCTGTAAATAGTGTTGTCCTTTACAGTCCCAGGGCTTTCACGGGGAAGCATTATGGTCTGGAATGGGCTTCATTTTTAAATTGTACTTGGGGGTAGCTCGTCTTTACCACCCCCCTCTACTGAAAACTCGACAAGCCAGTGCCCGATTCCCACGTTCTGCCTGGATTTGCTGTGTTCACGGCTCGTGCTGCCGTTACGCCAGCAGAGGGGGCTGTTGCTCTTGCAGAGAATCCCAGGTCAGGTGCTGAGATGTTGGTGTTGATTTATTTTCAACATTCAACACTGAACAGGGTTTATTGATAAGTCGCTTGCACCCGGCCTCCTCCGCTGTCTCTTCCCCCCTCCGCCCCGGCCCTTGTTTAGCACAAGCTGGCGGGAGAGACATTTCCCCCGAGTCAAGTGCAAGGATCTGAATGGATCCAGGCTAAGGACTCTTCCCTCTTGTGCTTCTGTATTTTTTTTTAATTCCCTGGTCATGTCTGTGCAGAGATAATTTCCATTTTCTGAACTGTGGCCATCGAATAAGACGTCACAGGCTCACATGTGGTCTTACTATTAATTTATATTCCAGGAGGGCCTCAAATCTTCACCTGAGACCAGGGCACCTGTGTGCCAAGCGCCGTACACAATGGGTGGAGACAATCCCTGCTCTCAAGAGCTTTCAGTCTAACCAGACAAGACAGGGACGGGGAAGGGTGTTGCCCTAGGTCACAGACAAGTGAGTGGTTGAGCAGGAAAGAGAACCCAGCTCTCCTGACAGCCAGTCTGGTGCCCGATCTGCTGAGACAGGCTTTCTCTCGTAAAGCTGGGAGTGGCATGTGAACACCCAGTAAGATTACAGAGGGTGGTGATAAATATTATATATGAGGCCTATGTTTTCCGATTCCTCCTTGAAACCGCCCCCCCCTTCCTCACCCTAGAGCAGCAGTTCTTCCCCTACCCCCTCTCAGTGGCATTACGGAGCAGCAATTGAAATTCTTCCCAGTTCAAGTTTGACAGGGAGGGTAACATATGAGTCAAGTGACATGTGCGTTACAAAGACACAGTAAAACTAGGTTAACCTAGGATGGAGATCTCTGTGGAGGAGGAGATAGTTCACCAAGGATGACTGAAGGAGGATTAGGTAATGTGTATAACATGACTCTGATCTTGCATAACAGTTAGAAAACACTGCTGGGCTTAGTTCCGGCTTTATTACTGTCAACAATGATTGCGTATAGACTGGTGCCAACTGCCTTTTAGGGCCCCTCTGCCCTTCCCCTGTAATGCTACAGATCCTGTAGTGAGGAGAGCCATGTAAATACCAAGAGGAAGCGATGAGCCTTACTGCACCTTATTACTGTGCTGTTCTCGCTGTTTAAAATGATCTCGATGTGAATCAGGGGCCTACGTTTTAGACCAGGGGTAGGCAATCTATGGCACGTCTGCCAAAGGCGGCCCATGAGCTGATTTTCAGTGGCACTCACGCTGCCCGGGTCCTGGCCACTGGCCCGGGGGCTCTGCATTTTAATTTAATTTTAAATGGAGCTGCTTAAACATTTTAAAAACCTTATTTAATTTACCTACAACAATAGTTTAGTTCTATATTATAGACTTCTAGAAAGAGACCTTCTAAAAACGTTAAAATGTATGACTGGCACGCGAAACCTTAAATTAGAGTGATAAATGAAGGACTCAGCGCACACTTCTGAAAGGTTGCCGACCCCTGTTTTAGACAATCATTGCTGTCCATTTATCACTGCCCCTTGGAATATGTGCAAATGTCTCCCAAATTTGCTGTAGGGGATGGAGCCCTGTTCTGAGAGCGACTCCCTCAGCAGGGATTAACTTCATCCTATAGCTTGTTCCTGCTAGTGTACGGTGTCCTTCTATGGGCTTTTCAGAGGTTAAACAAACACTCGGCTATCTGGTTCTCTTGCTGGCCTAGATCTCTGAATGGAGATTGAATTCCACCTGCTGGAGTTACACCTGCTGTTTCTCTTTAGAATCCTATTCCCCCTCCTGCTAAATTCTGAATGGTGGCTTTGCAAACGTGACCAGTCCCATGCTGCTCTTTGTGGTTACTTACCAGAACCCCCCTTGGGGCTGTGGCAGGTCTGAGCAGAGGCGATTAGAGGCTGCAGTTGATGCCTTAACAACACACCACAACAAAACATGTTCGACTTACCTCATGCTGTTCCGCTGTATTGCTGGTCCAAAAATGACCCTACTGCAGGCAGAGCTGCCAGAACAGCTATACCATATACCCGCAGGCCCCGTCCTCTCA